AATTCCTTAAAAATTAGAATTGGACAAGTAGAAGCTAATGACTTCATAAGATATCAGGAAACAATGAAACAAAATCAAGAGAATGGAAAAAAAACAGAAGAAAATGTAAAATATATCATCAGAAAAGCAACTGATTTAGAAAATAGATTGAGGAGAGTTAATTTAATAAAATTATTGGACTACCTGAAATTCATTATCAAAAAAAGACTTAGACATATTATTTCAAGAAATTATCGAGGAAAACTGCCCTGATATCCTAGAACCAGAGGGTAAAAGTGAAATTGAAAGATCCACTGATCACTACATGAAAGAGAGGCCAAAATGAAAACTTCCAGGAATATTATAGTCAAATTCCAGAGCTTCTAGGTCAAAGAGGAAATACTTCAACCAGCCAGAAAGAAGATTCAAATACCATTGAATTACAGTCAGGATTACACGAGATTTAGCAGCTACCATGTTAAAGGAGAACAGGACTTGGAATACAATATTCCAGAAGGCAAAAGAGCTGACATTACAACTAAGAATAACCTACCCAGCAAAACTAAATATAATCTTTCAGAGAGTAGGGAGAATATTTAATGAAATAGAGGACTTTTTTTTTTGGTGAGGCAATTGGGGTTAAGTGACTTACCCAGAGTCTCACAGCTAGTGAGTGCTATGTGTATGAGGCCAGATTTTAACTCAGGTCCTCCTGAATCCAGGACTGGTGCTCTATCCACTGTGCCACCTAGCTGCTCCCTTTTTTAAAAATTCATAGATTTTTAATATTATTATTATTATTTTTGCTGCGGCAATCAGGGTTAAGTGACTTGCCAGAGTCACACAGCTGGTAAGTGTCAAGTGTCTGAGGTTGGATTTGAACTCAGGTCCTCTTGACTTCAAGGCCAGAGCTCTATCCACTGCGCCACCTAGCTGCCCCATAATAGAGGACTTTCAAGGATTCCTGATGAAAAGACCAGAACTAAACAGAAAATTTTGACTTTCAAATAAAAGACTTGAGAGAAGCATAAGAAGGTAAACATGAAAAAGAATTCATAAGGGACTCAATAAGATTAATCTGCTTACTTTTCTATAAGGGAAGGTGATATATGAAACTTCTAAGAATTTATTCATTATTAGATTAGAAGGATTCTATATAGAAAGAGGGCATCAGAGTGAGTCTATAATGTTGGGATTATGTAAAAAAAATGGAGAGGTGAGAGAGGGATGCTCAGGAAGAAGGGGGAAGGGAGAGGAAGAATAGGGAAAATTATCTCAAATAAAAAAGGTGCATAAAGAAGAGATTTTATAGTAGAAGGGGAAATGGGGAGGGGCAGTCAATGCTTGAACTTCATTCATATCTAAATTGGTTCAAAGAAGGAAAATGTCTATACATACTCAACTGGCAAAAGAAATCTATATTTTTTCCCCAAAAGGGTGTAGGAGGGGATAGGGGTAAGGAAAAGGGGAGATGATAAAAAGGAGGGCTGATAAAAGAAGGAAGCGACCAGAAACAAAAGAGACTTGAGAGGAAGGACAGGATAAAAAGAGAGAGAGAAGGATAAACAGAAGAAAATAGGGTGGAGGGAAATGTGCAGTTAGTAATAACAGCTGTGAATGAGATAGACTTACATATTAAACAGAAGCTGATAGAATGGATTAGAAATCAAAATCCAACAATATTTTGTTTATAAGAAACACACTTGAAACAGAAAGACACACACAGAATTAAAATAAGGGACTGGAGCAGAATCTATTATGGTTGAGATGAAGTTAGAAATGCAGGGTTAAAAATCATGATCTCAGAAAAAGCAAAAGCAAAAATAAACCTAATTTAAAAGGATAAGCAAGGAAACTGCATGTTGCTAAAAGGAACCATAGACAATGAAGTAATATCAATACTAAAGATATATGCATCAAATGGTATAGAATCCAAATTCTTGAAGGAAAAGTTAAATGAGTTAAAGGAGGAAAACTATACTAGTGGGGGACCTCAACTTTCCCCTTTCAGAGCTAGATAAAGGTTGCTATGAAATGAATAAGAAAGAAACCAAGAAGATGAATAGAATCTTAGAAAAGTTAGATATGATAGATGTCTGGAGAAAACTGGGACCAGAAAAGTCTCAGTTGTGCATGGTAGCTTCACAAAAATTGACTATGTATTAGGACCTAAAAACCTCACAACCAAATGTAGAAATGCAGAAATATATTTTTTTCAGACCATAGTGCAATAAAGATTACATTTAATTAAGAGAAGCATGGAAGCATAGACTAAAAATTAATTGGAAATTAAATAATCTAATGCTAAAGAATGAGTGGGTCAAAGCACAAATCACAGAAATAATCAATAAGTTCATTAAAGAGAATAATAGCAATCAGACAACATACTAAAATTTGTGGGAAGCAGCCAAAGCAGCACTTAGGGGAAAATGTATATCTCTAAATGGCTACATCAATAAAAGAAGAAAGAGCAGATCAATGAATTAGGCATGAAACTAACAACAAAAAAAAGACCTAGAAAAAGAACAAGTTAAGAATCCCCAATTAAACACCAAAATGGAAATCCTAAAAATCAAAAATTTAATAAAATTGAAAGTAAAAGAAATTGAATTAATAATGAAAAGTAGGAGTTGGTTTTATAAGAAAAAAACATCATTGGTTAATTTGATTTAAAAAGGAAAGAAGAAAACAAATAACCATTATCAAAAATAAAAAGGGTGAGAAAACCACCAATGAAGACTGAATTAAACCAATTATTGGGAGTTATTTTCCTCAATTATATGCTGGTAAAACTGATAATCTAAAAGAAATGGATGAATATTTACAAAAAATAAACTGCCCAGATTAACAAGAGGAAATAAAGTACTTAAATAGCACTATCTTAGAAAATTGAACAAGCCATAAATGAGCTTCCTAAGAAAAAATTTCCAGGACCTGCTGAATTTACAAGTGAAATCCTACCAAACATTTAAGTTTTTTGTTTGTTTGTTTTCTTAGGCAATTGGGGTTAAGTGACTTGCCCAGGGTCACACAGCTATTAAGTGTTAAGTGTTTGGTCTGAGACCAGATTTGAACTCGGGTACTCCTGACTTCAGGGCCAGTGCTCTATCCACTACCAAACATTTAAGGAACAATTAATCTAAATACTACATAAACTATTTGACAAAATGGGTAAAGAAGGAGCCCTACAAAATGCCTTTTATGAGACAAATATGGTTTGGATACCTAAACCAAGGAAAGCAAAACACAGAGAAAGAAAATTGTAGATAAATTTCCTTAATGAACATCAGTGCGAAAATCACTATGACCAGATAAGATTTATACCAGGAATGCAGGGCTAGTTCAATGTTGGGAAAACTATCAGCATAATTGACCATATCAATAACAAAACCAACAAAAATCACATGATTATACCAATAAATACAGAAAAAGCCTTTGACAAAAAACAATACCCATTCCTATTAAAAATACTAGAAAGCATGAGAATCAATGGACTCTTTCTTAAAATGATAAGCAGTACCTATCTAAAACCAAGAGCAAGCATTATCTGTAAGGAAGATAAACTTGAAGCCTTCCCAATAACATCAGGAATGAAATGAGGATGTCCATTATCACCACTATTATTTTTTTTTACTAGAATTGCTAGCTATAGCAGTAAGACAAGAAAAAGACATTAAAGAGATTAAAAATAGGCAATGAGGAAAAAAAACTATCATTCTTTGAAGATAATATGATGGTATATTTAGAAAACCTTAAAGAATCAACTAAAAAGTTAATTGAAACAAATTAACAACCTCAACAAAGTTACAAGATATAAAATAAATCTGCACAAATCATCAGCATTTCTTTATACCACCAACAAAACCCAGCAGCAGGAGATAGAAAGAAAAATTCCATTGAAGATAACTATAGACGATATAAAATATTTTGAAAGCTACCTGCCAAGACAAACCCAGGGATTATATGAACATAAACAACAAAGCACTTTTCACACAAAGACAGAGCTCAATAATCAGAGAAATATTAATTGCTCATGGGTAGGCCAAGCCAATATAATAAAAATGACAATTCTACCTAAGTTAATTTTTAAAATTTATGTGTACTTTACAAAGTAATCTGAGATTATTTCATCAAGTAATCAACTGCTACCTTTTAGCCTTGTTACTTTAGGTAAATTGCTTATCTGAGTACTTCACATTCTTATCTGTCAAATTACAGAGTTGGACTAAAATGATCTCTAACAACCATTCCAATTCTAACATTTTTTGATTTGGGGATTTTAGCTCTGTCCACGTTATTGGCTCATTCTCATTACCTATATTGGATTTGTGTTTATATTTAAATGATTAAATCACAATGCACAGGAAGAAATGCAGGATGTTATAGTTGAAAGAACACTAATTTTGAAGTCAGAGGACTTGGGTTTGAATCCCACCTCTTATGCTAAATAGTTGTCTGATTTTATGTATGTCACCAAAGCTCACTGGACCCTGCTTCCCTCATCTGGAGAATGAGAGATGAATTAGTCTAATAGATGAATTAGTGGAAACTTATAAAAACTAAAACAAAATTTCTAGTAATTAATATTTTGATATTCTAGAATTGCTGTTGCTTGGTTTTATAGTCATACCTAAACCAAAACATATCTTTCACTCAGACAAAGTACTGCATGGTACTATTCATCTTAAATGAATTAAAATGTATTACACTTTGAAATTTATTTTGAGAATTTCATATTGTTATTGAAATTTATTTTGAGAATTTCACTTGTTAAAATATTTGGACATCCCAGGAATATAAAAAAGAATAATGAAATAAACAATGAAACAACCACTGTTGAATTGTTAGTCTTAGAGCCTATAAAGGTTAAATTTTATCATCACTTAAGAAATTAAGAATTTTTTCTCACTTAGATTATCAGAATATCCACTTATTTCACAAGCTTTTTAGCCATTTGTTTTTTTAAAGAGTTATGTGATATTTCTACCTAATTAGTTAAATGTCTGTTCTCTTCGTGTTAGGTGAATCAGGCTCTTGGGATCTTCTCATCTGCCTGCCTTCTAGGAAAGCTGATGGAAAGCCTTGCGTCGTGAAAGAAGACTTGTTCCAGTTGAACTTACATCAAAGGGTATAGTATCAATGGTATTTTTCTTGTTGTTTCCAGATTTTCAAGCAGAGACTTTCTATTAATGTTAAATCCACATTAGTGCTTAGAATTCAAGGAAGAGGAAAAGATGATCTAATCTCATTTGTTGACCCTGATTTGGCAAATGGGAATAACTATGCAATTCAACCCTGACCTATAGTTGGGGTACAAGTATTGTACCTTCTTTTCCTGTTAGAGCTCCCCCAACTCAAAGAGTAGGCTGGCCTGGCCACACTATACCACACTAAATACATCATCTCCACTTTTTAAATTAGAGAAACATCTACTCCATTGTTTTACCTTTTTTAAAAAGATGGTGCATCTTTTGTTCTCTTCACTAGCATCACTGTTCTAAATGTTTGGTCACATTCATGAGGCAGTCAGATGATGAAGTAGGTAAGAGTACTGAATTCTAAGTCAGGAAGACCTAGGTACAAATCTTTCCTCAGATACTTATGAGCTGGGTGTAACTGGGCAAGTCACTTAACCTCTGCCTCAGTTTCCTCATATGTAAATGGGGATGATAGAATAATCCTAGCACCTAGGGTTGCTGTAAGGATATCATGATATAACATATGTACAATACTTGCCAAACCTTAAAGTGCCATATAAATGCTAGCCATTATTATTGTTATTATTATTGATATTATCAAGTTAATCAAGTCCCTTGCTGAGTTCATTAGAAAATGATATGTAGTATTAAAAATTGGCATTATGCCAGTTGGGGTCCATTACTTAGACTTATTGCAGGAGGATCACAGAAGCCAGTCAATGCTGGAAATAATAGGACCTTTAATTCTTTGTGTTTAAGGAAAGACCATGGGATTTTACAGGAGGCAGCCAAGGCGGCACTAAGGGGGAAATAGGGGCAACAAGGGAAGGGTATTAGGGTATACTTTCCCTCATCCCCTGAAAACTTGGGTATCAGCCGATATTTCCAAAACCAAGGTATCCTGCTAACTTCTCCCCATATCTTCTCCACAATAAAGTTACATTTGATACCTCCAAATCAGAAGCGTGAGAAGAGCAGGAAATGGACATCAACTGGATACCCTGTGCCCAGTGGTCTTCAGGCAATTGCTAAGAGGGAGTCTCCAGTGAGGCTATGAAAGGCTACTTCCTAGTCGTGGCACATTTTGTACCAAGATTTCACTTGTATTTCTAAATTCATCTTTATTTCATGTATGAGGTCAGCTCAGTTTTTGTAGGAAGTGTCTTAAAGGTCATCTAGTTCAGCCTTATCATTTTATAGATGGGGAAACTGAGGCTCAGAGGGGAAATGAATTGCTCAAGGTCACATGGATAGTAAGAGGCAGAGTCCATTGACTCCAAATCTAGAATACCTTCTATTGCAGCAAGTTGCTTCTAGGTCATGGAAACTTACCCTTCTTAAGCAGATTTGATTGGTTTCCTTGCTTCTAATACCAGGCCAGAGGATACAAATTAAATTAGCTAGTAAAAAGGAAATTTCTGGGCATAGAAAATTCCAGATATGAAAAGTTTCCAAGATGGGGCAGGGCAGAAAGGAGGGGATATTAGGAAGAAAGAGAGGGTGCAGCTAAGACAGAGACTTATGAAAACAGATCAAAATAATCTATAGTCTTGCTTTTCCAGACTACAGCAATGTCTAACGTGGAAAAAAACAAAGACTTATTTTCAACCATTAGATTACGTTGATGTTTGAATGTTTTTAAGGTTTTACAAGCTGGGTTTGGGTGGAACATTTTTTATTCAGCTAATGGAACTTCTGAATTCTGCTTTACCACCCACTATGAAAAAAAATTAAAAATAACCAACAACAAACAGCTGTCAGTGATCACAGGGAAGTACAGAAGAAAGTATACATGGGAACAAATACTTTATTCAGAGGAGAAATATGTAGAAATGAGAAAAAAAATCCAAAGCATACAGTCAGCAGTTTAGAAGGAATAAAATGTTTGGATACTTTTAGAATAGTTATTTGTAAACCCTCTCATGTGTGACCAGTACAAGAAGAGGTATAGAGAGAAGGGAACAAAGCAATAAAACCAATCTTGGGGTATGGGGTGGAACAAAATGATGAAGGGTATTGAAGAAATAAAGAGAATAAGAAAAAAATAAATCTTTAAAATCAAGCCTTATGAATTCCTTTTAAAAAAACTGCCATTTATATAGTTATTTATGATTTATTATACACTTTAAAAAATTTTTTTCATAGTGAAACAAAACAAACCCATATGCTTTCCTTGTCCAAAAATGCATGACTTATTCTGAACCCCGAGTCCGTCACATTTTTGTAAAGAGGGGCGTCATGTGTTTCGTCTTGTTGGTCCTTGAGTTTGATCACAATTCTTGTCTTTCAAATTTGTTATTCTTCACAATGTTATTGTTCCATAATAAAATGAGGAACTTACTAAGTAGCAAGGCAGCCTATCCTATTATCTCTGATAATTAATAAGTTTTTCCTTACATCAATCTAAATTCTTACTACCTTTCATTGACTGCTTGTAGTTCTCTCTTTGGGTTGACTGATGTATTTAGGGCCAGAGTACCTAGGTTCAAATTTTGATTCTAACAGTATAACATTATCCTTCCAGTCACCTAGGTTTACAACCAACTCCAAAATCTTACTCATACCATATATGAAATAAGTTGCCAAATATTCCTGTTTTAATATTATCTTACATGCCCTTCTCTTCATTCCTGCAGACAACACCCTGGTTCAATCCTTATCACTTCTCACATGGACTATTGAGTAAGCTATTGAGATGGCTTCCTATGCAACCTCCCTACATCAAGCATCTCCCTGCTTAAATAGCTCATCTGCACAGCCTTCAGAGTGAATAGGTCTGAAGATGTCCACCCTTACTCAATAAATTCCAATTGCCATTTATCCAAACCTAGGTGGAACATTGTCAGCTAGGTGGCACCACGGTGTACAGAGCTCTGGGCAAGGAGTCAGGAAGACTTGAGATCAAATATGGCCTTAGATACTCACTAGCTGTGTGACCCTGGGCAAGTCACTTCATTTCTGTCTGCCTCAGTTTCCTCATCTATGAAATGGGGATAATAATAGCACCTACCTCATAAGGTTAATTTAACGATCAAATGAGATAATATTTGTAAGAAGTACTCAGCACAGTGCCTGGCACATAGTAGGTACTATATACTTATGTTTTTATATCATCTACACTTCACACTGTACTTCTATCCTTACCCCCTCCCAAAAAGCAAACCCTCAATGATAAAGAAAAAAAATTCAGCAAAATGAACCAACATATCAAAAAAAGTCTGACATTACATGTAAATTCTATTCTTCATCATAGTGTCCACACCTTTGCCAAGAAGTGAGGTGGAGGATGTCATCATTTCCTATTTCTTCTTGGGGCTCTTTGGTCATTGTAATTTCACATAATTCAGAGGGAAGGAGGGATAGAGGGAAGGAAGGAAGGATTTATTAAGATATCTATCTATCTACTATCCTCTGTACCAAACACTGTGCTAAATACTGGAGACACAAATACAACCAAGTAAACAGTCCCTGCTTATATTCTGAGGGAAAACAACATAAAAAGACAAATTGAAAAACAGGATTGGGATATACAGGTCATGGTATAGTGTTAAGGTGGCCAGGAAGTGCGGCAGAGGCCTAGATCTAATTTTTGGTTTCATTCTTTTCATTTAGTGTGCTGCTGTCATGTATGTCGTTTTCCTGGATCTGCTTCATAGTATATCAATTCACATCAGCCTTCCCATGATTTTCTATATTCATCATGGTCATCATTTCTTACAGCACACCAATATTCCATTACATCAGTGTGCCGAGTTTTGTTTAGACATTGCCCAATCAATGGACGGCTACTTTCTCTCCCCAACCCCTATCCCCCAGTTCTTTGTTACCACAAAAAATATTCTTTTAAAGATTTTGGTGTATTTAAGTGGGGCCTTTTTTTTTCTTGGTCATACTCTTTGGAGTATATGCTTAACAGTGCTATCTGTGTGCAAATGTATAACAATTTAGTCCTTCTCTGCATAATTCCAAATTATGAAATGTATCAATTCATAGACTTGCTTTTCCAGAAGAACTGTATGAATCCACAGCTCTACCAACAAAGCATTCATGTTTATTCATGTTTCCACAGTTCCTCCTCAAACTCTTCCATTTATTTTTCATCTTTGTCAACTTTGAAGTGAGGCAAAACAGGTTGCTTAAATTGCATTTCTCTTATTATTATAAAATATATAATTCATTAATATTATTGTGTATGATGCATTATGTAATAAATATATTATGAATTATGGCAGTTATTTACATGACCATCTTAGAAGCATTCTCTCTAATCATTTCAAAAATTTGAGAACAATTTTATAAAATGTCCTTGAAAGTTCAAGCGAGCTTTTAAAAAATACAATGAAGGAAGCAAATGGATGACCCAAAAGGAATAGACAGTAGAGTTTATGCAAAATGCCATCAAACCTAATATACTATCAAGATATTATGTTGAAAAATAACTTTTAAATTCCTTCTTGTTTTAAGGTTAATTAATGATTATCAAAAGTGTTATAGTAATGTTAAGTTCGAGAAATTCACTATATAGAATAGGTTAGTTGATATCACATCATAGCTCCCTTAAAAATGTTTCTCCTAGTAATGATGCAAATCTTATATATTTATGATGTACATAAAATCAATAAGTAGAGGGGTGTCGGTGTATTTTTAGAACAAGAAAAAATTCCATATTGCAATATTTGATGATTTGCCACAGATGTATTTCCCCTTCACCTTTGAATTTCCTGAGTTTAATTTGCTGACTTTCTCAATTTACCTTGGTGTTATCTTAACCTTCTAGTTTAGCCTCTACTCTGGAGTAATGTTTGGATGGTATTTCCCACGTATGAGTCAGAATTATCTCATCATCAGCCCTGTGAATGCCAAAGACTGACAGTGGAAGGAAAAGATTTGGAGAAGGTCATTGGTCATAGTGGGGGATGGGAAGAGCAGA